AAGGGTCTAGGCCCGAAACGTCAGCCTTCCTGCTCCTCTGATGCTGCTCGGCCTGCTGTGTTCATCCAGCTCTACACCTTGTTATCTCAGATTCTCCAGCATCTGCAATTCCTACTATCTCTGAACTAATTTTAAGTGTACAGCCAACCAGATCCATGGCCTCTGCAAGTGCCTGTGCCCCAGGCCAGGGTGTCTGGGACACTGTTAGGTGAAGAAGGTGAGGAAGGATCACCGGTGTGAAGGGTATCTTCCTGAATTTCTGCAGTTTCCAAGCAAAGGATGATTTCTGTGAACAGAATTTCCCCAGTGGGGGGTGTTTTGGTGTGACCTTCTGGAGTGTAGAGCAATGTGAGCTTCTCCTGAAGATATTTGAAGCGAAAGGAGGTGAGGGTCCCCTCTCCATCCTGTCTGCGGCACCATTGTTCATCCTTCTAGTGCAGAGGAGCCAGGTTATTACAATCCATTTATACGACCGCCACGTCCCAGCAGCAGATGTCCTGACCTTCCTGGAAAGGTCAGCATAGCTTGAAGGAGGCAGCACAGAAAGCGATAGGGCAAGGTGACCCAGTGGGAATATCCTCCACCAGCCCTCCAGTTTTACAGTCAGAGGGATCTGAGGCCACCTGACATATGTGGGGAAGCCTAAAGTGTGTCGAACCTGGAGGTGGTCAGGGCATATGGTAGTGCACTGCAAAGTGACCGTCTGCAGGAACTGAAAACAGGAGGTGCATGTGACTAAGGACTGCAAACAGTCCAAGAGTTGCAAACTGTATGGAGAAGCAGACCACCTATATAAGGCCTGCCCAAGACGAGGGCCACATATGCACAATTGGCCAGAAATGGCAACACAAGCAGTGGACCTCTAGTAAGGTACCACCCTCTAATAAGACACTTGAGAAAATGGACAACCAAGGAAGGCGGCACATGTGGAAAAAGAAAGGAAGATGTTCCAGAGAATGATAAATCAATTGAACCGCCACCTCAGAATACAGAGTCAATGGAGGAGGCTACAGTGAAAAAACAGTGCAGTGTGTGGCAGGTGTTGAGGAATATCTGCAAAAGAAAAACCCTTCACTCACACAGGGCCACCACAGGCCAGCAGCAGAGTGGAAAGAGACAGTCGTATAAAGGACACACCAGCAACTCCTCTACAATGAGGATGTATGGGAAGATTATCATACACAGAAGAAGCGGTAAAGCACCAAAGCAGGTGAGGCGATGTGCACACCCCAACCTGGAAACGAGAGCCCAGTGAAAACCGACTTCTTGATGTCAGGAACCACGAGGTACACAGCACCGCACAGCTCCAGGAAACTGGGAGCAACAACATTCTGAACAAGGAGCAGTGCTCAACAACAGTTCCACTCAATTCAGGACATGATATGAAACCGACCTTCTTGTGTCATCTCCTGGAGTGGGACTGGTGACCTGAAGGAGTAGGTAGTCATAAGACAAACATGGTGACTATCAAAGTGATAATTATGCTAAATTATGCATTTGGCTGCTTGCAAGAATGCATTGGAGGCCTGTGGGGGATCTCTCAATCCTCAGTCCACAAATGTATCAAGGCTGTTACCAATACAACATGTGCCAGATCAAACTGCTTCATCTTGTTTCTCTGTGATGTGGTTAATGTTATCACCCAAGAAAGCAATTCAATTTTATTTCTAGGAAATATCCACCACATTGTTTTGTCAATTCATTTATTTAAATTCACGTGGACCAACTATTCAAGACAAACATGGTTAAGTGCTTCGAAATGCTTAACAATATGTTAAGCAAAAGATATTAATCTATATCACTGCTTAAAATGGGAAGATGTTGGCTGTTATCTGAATGAATAACATTTATATTACATATTAATAATCTGTCACATTTTGGTAATTATTTTGTATTAGTTAAGTAAATGGAAAATAATTATGAAGAAGGGTCCAGACCCGAAACGTCAGCTTTCCTGCTCCTCTGATGCTGCTTGGCCTGCTGCGTTCATCCAGGTGTACGCCTTGTTATCTCAGATTCTCCAGCATCGGCAGTTCCTACTATCTCAGAAAATAATTATGTTGTGATTTGAAGCTCCACTTTTGACACATGAGCTTGAAGTCACTGGAGTGGGAGTGCTGCACTGACAGAAGTGCCATCTTCTGAATGAGATATTAAGCTGAGGCCCATCTAACATCTCAGATGGAGTTAGGTCACAGAATAGTCACTTTGTCATTGAATGGTGGTACAGGTACGAGGGGTTGAATACCTACTCCCGGGATCCCCTGGTACTATTTAACATATGAACATATGAATTTGGAGTAAGTATGTGCCATTCATAATTATGGCCAATCTGATTGTGGCCTCAGCTCTATGTTGCTGCCTAACCCAAAAGTTTTGACACCCCTGTTAGTCAAGAGTATCACCCATCTCTGCCTTAAAAATATTCAGTGACCCTGCATCCATCACTATCTGGGCAGGAGAATTCCAAAGTGTCACAGCCCTCTGAGAGAAAAGATTTCTCATTATGTCTTAAAAGAGAACTCACTTATTTTGGATCTGTGTGGCCGAATTATTATTTCTCCCAAAAGAGGAAACATCCTTTCAGCATCCACCTTATCCAGTCTCTTCAGAATCTGAGATAACACAGCGTGATGCTGGAGGAACATAGCAGACCAGGCAGCATCAGAGGAGCAGGAAAGTTGACGCTTCGGATTGAGACCTGAAGAAGGGTCTCGACCCGAAACGTCAACTTTCCTGCTCCTCTGATGCTGCCTCGTCTGCTGTGTTCCTGGAGCTCCACACGTGTTATCTCTGACTCCAGCATCGGCAGTTCTTATTGTCGCCTCAGAACCTTATATATTTTGAGAAGGTTATTATAGTGATTGGAATGAGGTCCTTGAGTGGGGATGTTAACCTGGGCCAATCAGGGAGCCCTGGCTTGCCGATATAAACAGAAGATTCAGAGAGATTCCTCATTCCTCCCATAGTCCAAAGGTGTGCAAGTTAGGTGGATTAGCCATGCTAAATTGCCCACAGTGTCCAGGGAAGTGCAGGCTAGGTGGATCAGCCGTGGAAATGCAGGGTTACAGAGATAGGGTAGGGGGATAGGTCTGGATGCGATGCTCGTTGGAGGGTCAGTGTAGACTTGATGGGTCGAATAGCCTGCTTCCACACTGTAGAGTTCTATGATTCTAGTGACTGGCTGGTCAGAGCCCATGTACTGTGCACATGTAAATAAAGGGTGACTTGGTGACGAATACTAGCCTCTGTGCAATTATTTCAGTGGCAATGAGAGAAAAACAGTATGCTTCTGAAGAAAATTCACTCAGATTAGCCATGATCTCATTGAATGGCAGGGCAGACTCGATGGACTGAATGACTGAACTTCTGTTCCTATGCCTTATAGTCTTATTAAATTGAGGAGAGTAGTTTCAAAGTCATACTTTCCAAATTTTGTATTGAAATCAAAGTGATAGACCAAATTCCTTTCTTTTTGCAGGATGGTGCTACATCACTTTTTCTGGCAGCACAAGGAGGCCATCTAAATGTGATTAACATGCTCCTTGCATCAGGAGCAAAGATTGACCAACCAAGACAGGTATACAAATTATGATTTATAATTGAAGAAAGATGTGAATTAATTCATTTTGACTCTATTGAAACAGAAACTTGAATTTAACCTTGTCTTGAAAATAAAAGAAGTAAAATGCAATTTTGATGAACTGAAGCACCACACCTTTGGATGTCGAAGCCTATTCAATATTCTGTATATTGTATTCCCTAATGCCAGTTCCTGGTTCAGTGCACAAAGCTCAACAGTATCCATAGAACATATGAAAAGTTCAGAAGTCAGTTCTGCAGGCCCACAATTCCCTGTGTGTACTCGTGATGAGTGAAGACTGACACCAGGAATACATTTTTATGTGACTTATTTTATTCGATAAAGCTATATTAATTAAAAAGACTTTTCCAATATCCCTGCAAATCTTTCCCTTTCAGGTATTTATCTAATTTCCATTTGAAAATCATTACTAAATATGCTTCTGCCACTCCAAATCACTGCAATCCAAATCTTATTAATTCATCGCAAAAATGGTTCAAATTGGTTAGAATTTTACAGCTCACTGCTGGTGTACATGACAAAATAAAATAGGTAGCCTGTCTGCTGCCTTCCTGTTTTTTTATTATTCATTCATGGGATGAGGGTATTGCTGGCTGGACAGCATTTATTGCCCATCCGTAATTGCCCAGAAGGCAGCTTTGAGTCAATCACATTGCTGTGGGTCTGGAATCACATATAGGCCAGACCAGGTGAGGATGGCAGTTTCCTTCCTTAAAGGACATTAGTGAATCCAGATGGGATTTTCCTGACAGTCAGCAATGGATTCATGGTCATCATTAGACTCTGAATTCCAGATATTTAATGAATTCAAATTCCACCATCTGCCATGGCAGGATTCAAACCCAGGTCCCCAAAACATTATCTGGGTCTCCGGATTAACAGTCCAGTGATAATACCTCTAGACTATTGCCTCCCCTTCCTGCCACCTCTGATCTATCTCCCACATTATATTATGCAATTAAGGAGGTCAGATAGCCTACCTAAATAATGGTCTAAAGCATACCTCCAATCTGAGCCTCTGAAACATGGGCCCCTCTTCCCCTTCCCCCTGGACTCTGCCAAGATGCCTGCACACACCGTCCACCAAATTTCCTGGGGCTGATGAAATCTAGGATCCATCAGACTTCTTTGAGGATTGCTTGTCGTCCCAACAGTGGTCACTCAGATTGGCTCACAGTTCTCTCAGAGATCCCAAATGGGATCAGAAACCACATTCTGACTCAATTAAGGCAGCCATCAGCATATTGAAGCTGCGGAGCTGCTGGGCTTTAGGTGGGTGGACTGATCATGGACTTCTCCGGTAGCGGGGAGACATGCAGCAGGGGATATAACACAACCCCCTGTAAAATACACACCCTTTGTCTCCTATCTAGTCCTTTTGTGAGTTTTATTTTCTTTTTTCTTTCATGGGAAGTGGGCATCATTAGTAAAGACAGCAGACTTCCTACCTTAAAGGACATCAGTGAACCAGATAGATCTTTATAACAATCAATAATAATTGTCATGGTTATCATGAGAGGAGCTATTAGTTCCAATTTTTTATTAAGCAATATAAATTCATTGCTATTAAATTGTATTAAATCTGTCAGTCCTTTCTACTGACTCTTCAGGCAGTAGAAATAGATTTACCTTGTTTACTCCATTAAAATCTTTGGAATGGTCCCCTTGGATTGATCTGTAGTGATTGTAACAAGATCAGCCAGCTGGACCTCGTAGAATATAAGTTCCCCAATTGGGGCTATTAATTTGATCTAATCAGGGAAATCTGGCTGATATAAAAGGATGAATGGCTGACTCAGTGAGAGGCATTGCTAATGTCAAAGGCTAAGCATCTCTGAATAAAGGATGATTGGTGATGGGATGCAGCCTCTGAAGAGTTATTTCAGTGGTGATAAGAGCAAAGCACAATCCTGAAGAAACTCGCTTGCAACAGTTGTTTTTAAGTTGTGGGGGGTAAGCATTTTCTTACATCATGCCTCTGTTTGGGATGTTTGATTCGATCGACCCTGCCATTGAGAACTGGGTCCTGTATGTGGAAAGAATGCATTATTTTTTCCAGGCAAACTACATTGTGATGAAAAATGAGTAATTCTCCTGACAGCCTAGGGAGGTACAACTTTTTTCTGTCACTAGGGACCTAACATTTCCTGAGGCACCAAATATTAAACCCTCTTAAGAATTGATTGACATAGTTAGGGAGTATTAAGACGTGAAGCCTCCTTTAATTCTGCGACACTATTGCTTTTACTTGATAATTCGAGAACCCTGAGAATCTGTATTGGGGTTTTCACTAGGTTAAAACAACTAGCAGAAGTCTGTGAATTTGGTTTAACCTTTGACAAGATGCTTAGAGACCATCTAGTATGTGGGATCAATGATGTGACTGTGCAAAAACACTTACCGGCTGAATCTTAACTGGACTTCAAACAAGCACTACAACTGTCTTTGTCATTGGAAGATGTGACTGGTGAAGTAAATGAGTTGCAAGGCATTCTAATGGAAGTGGAAACCCTCACCTGAGCTTAGGGAACACCACTTGAGAGCAGGCAACTGCATAGCCTCATTCAGGAAGTACCCTGGTAAGAATAACTCAGTCAGCCCACAGCAAAACCCCAAACCAAAGCCAAGTCTCAGCCAAACAGTTACAGTTTTCTTCAGGATTCTGCCAGTAAGACATTGTGATTGTTGTTGATATGAGGATTCGGGATGGCACTGGAGTCCTACTCAACTTAAACGGAGTAAGATAATTCAGAGGCCAGTGTCCAGGAGAGTTCATACCCTGGAAACTCCACCTGCATCTGGTTTGGAACAATTAAATTGCTTAGCAACATCAAAATCAGAACCACTCAAGATAAACACCTGATTAAATGGGCATTCGGTTCAATTGGAGGTCGATTCTGGTGCAGCCATATCAGTGATTGCAGTTTTTAATAAAATTCACATTGGACTCCAGCCCTTGAATTTGCGTTAGACATCAGCTAGGCTGAGAACCTTTACCAGGGAACCTTTGCAGATTAAGGGTACAACCTCTGTTTCAGTCTCTTATGAAAGGCAGCTAGATCGATTGCCAGTGATTGTAGTAGAAGTCTTGGGCCCAAGCTTGATGGGATGAAATTGGTTGTGAGAGATTCACCTGGATTGGTTCAATGTTTTTCAATTAGAAAATGGCTGCCTGAGTGAAAGTCCTAATTAAATATCCGGAAGTTTTCCAGGAAGGTCTAGGGACCATCGGAAGAGCCAAAGCAACTTGTCAAGTTGACCAGGAAGCAATTCTGCAATTTTGTAAGATAAGTGCCATTTGCCTCATGGACAAAAGTAGAAGCAGAACGCAGAAGACTGGAAAATGAAGGAATCATCAAACCAAAAAAATTTGCGGAATGAGCAGCACCAGTCGTATCAATTTTGAAACCCCATGTACCAGTTCACCTTTCTGGGGACTTTAAACAAGCAGTAAACTTTTTTTTGCAGTTGGATAAATACGCAATCCCTCATGATTTGTACGCAAAGCTGGCAGGAGGTTTGTCCTTCATGAAGCTTGACATGAGCCATACTTACTTGCAATTGCATTTTGACCAGGATTCTCAGAAGTATGATACAATCAATACTCATAAGGCCATAATACACGAAACTGCTATTCAGCGTATCGTCAGCCATTTTTCAGTGGCTGATGGCGAACATTTTGCAAGGTCTACCTCAGGTCACCATTTACCTAGTTAACATCCTGATACGAGGGAAAGCTAATATGGAACACTTAGCGAACTCGGATATTGTGCTAAGGCATTTTTTTCAAAGCAGGCATATGCCTAAGAAGGGAAAAATGTGTGTTCCAGGCCCCCCAAGTGACCTCTTTTTGGGCTACAGGATCGACAAGACTGAGTGATACCTGTTGGAAGATTAAGTGTGGGCAATCAAAGGTGACTTGGCCCCACGTCTGTCCATGAGCATAAGTCGTTTTTGGGTCTGGTAAACTGTTATGGAAAGTTGATACACAACCGGGCATCCACTCTGGTGCCATTCCATCAACTCTGTAAGAAAGGGTCAGCCTTGGAAATGGGTCTCATAGACAGGCCCTAGCTTTCGATGAAATAAAGAGGCAACTATCATGGTCTAATATGTTGGCACACTAGGATCCCAAGCAAGATCTGGCATGGATGTGCAATGCCTCCCCGAATGGCATCAGGTGGTATTAGCTCATAGGTGGCCCACTGGAGAGGAACGCCCATAGCTTATGCATCCAGGACTTTGGCTAATGCAAAGCGTAAATACGCCCAAATAGAAAAAGAAAGATTGGCAGTCATATTTGAAGTCAGAAAGTCCATCAATACTTTTTATGGGTGAAAATTTGTGACAATCACATATCACAAACCCCTACTCAGTCTGCTTGAAGAGGATAAGCCAATGCCACCCATAGTTTCAAGCCACATTCAGCAGTGGGCTCTAATATTAAGTGCCTATAATTACAAATCCGAATACCATCTGGGAAGCTGAGCAGCAAACGTGAATGCATTGAGCTGCCTTCCATTAGCAGATGTGTCATCTGTGGTACCCCAATGAAAGCATCTGTCATAACATTGATTTTTCTGGACAGGCTACCAGTTACAGCTAACAATATCAGACTTTGGACATAGAAGGATCCAGTCCTTTCCAGACTGAAACAATTGGTATTAATGGGGGAAACCAAAGGGTCATCACAGCTAGAATGAAAACCTTTTTGGACTGGAGAGACCAGCTCACGGGTAGAACAGCATATCGTTATGGGGAGTGAGAGTGATTGTCGCCATCAAATACTGGCTGAGCTCCATCAGGGCCACCCGGGGTCTCCAAAATGAAGATGTTCATGAGGAGTTATGTCTGGTGGCCAGGCTTGGACATTGACATAGCCGTATGGTAGGATAGTGTCCAGAATGTCAACAAGGACAGAAGTTAATGCCAGCAACTTTCCCCCATCCATGGAAATCACCGGGTAAATCTTGAAC